AAATATTGACATGTAGAAATTTTATCAGGTCTACAACTACTTCAAATATGAAAGAGAGACAGAGAGCGACAGTGTGAGAGAGACCCAGATTTGCAACTTCTACTGAAAGCTTTGGATGTATTTTTTTTCCTACTTTAGTCGCTAGCTTTTTGAAACAAAAACTGAAGACTAGAAATGTTGCTAGGCAACTATTAATGTAAGGCCCCATTGACTTTTCCAAATGCCAGATTTCCCATCAATTAAGGACAACAAATCATCTCTTTATCCCATCTCTTATCTCCCTAAAAGCTTTACATGGCTAATTTTCCATTGTAACTTGAGTGTTTATCAGCTGGTGATTCCCTGTCTATCGTGAACTTTTGACCTCAGTCCTTGGTAAAACAGTGTTTAATCCAGAAATTGTCCAAAGAGTTTAATAGCTTCTAGTTTTTCACATTGACATGTTGTCCTAACAGTACTTAAAATGTTATACCACCCACTTTTCCTGCCTTTGGGTTTTTTTGGGATTTTTGTACGTTGTTTCCAGGTTACAAGAGAGCACACTCCACAAGGCCTCCAGGGATTTTCTCTCCATTCCTGTGGTTGGTGTAGCCTTAAAAATTAAGGTGGTTCTAAATTTTCAGATGTAAATTTCTAATTAGTAATCCTTAATTTTGTCAAAACAGACATGCCATGCACCCAAATTCCATTATCATTGTGGAACTTAGAGACTGAATGTTAGAGAGTTTGTTATGGCAATGAACAAATGTCAGACATGTCAGTCAGTGACAAAACAACTGCAGATGCCGGGAAGTTGGGGTCTGGCAGGGACTAAGATGAAAATGTTCTATTCAATGTTTCCATCAGCATCTTGAAGAAATTTAATGACAATTGCCAGTCAAAATGACAATCTTTTTAATGTTCTTGTAAGTGACCCATGGTCAGAGTGCCTATAATTAACAAAATTAATAGACTTGCTGATTAAGCACCCATGATAAAATGAATGCTCCAATGACAATGGATCCCTAATTGATCCATAATAGAGGTATTGCCCCCTCAACCAGGTAAAAAAAACACATTAGAACATCTGGCAATCAACCAAAATGAGTTAGCAAATAGGAATGAGCTTTGAATTGGAACTAATACATTTCTTATGACACAAAACCATTTCAAATTAATAACTAATTCTGTAATAGTCTAGATTTCCATTATTGCAGACCCTGTGTCTTTTGTATAACTAAGCAGATTCTATTCCAACAGAACAAAGCCAAAGAAACCTTCAGACAAAATCATTTGGAAGTATTGGTTTGAATTTATTTAGTACTACTCTGTCTTCTCTAAGGATAGTTCTGTCTTTGTTATCAGAATTCATATGAATTAAGCAGAGGAGGTGCCATCAAACCTTCGTGGTTTTCACTTTGCTCAAAAACATTGCCAATTTCAGCCCAACTTTCAGATGCATATATAGTCATAGAGTCATAAAACAAAAGCATTATTTGAATAATGCAAACATGCCTAGTGTCTTTTTCTGTTTAACTTGCTTAATAATGTTTATTAAGCACTCTTATAAAACAGTAACATCTTAAGAATTATTGTAGACAGCTACAATTGTTTTTTTTTTGATTTATGCATATGCCTGTACTCTGATTTTTATCTCTATGCTTAATGGTCTAATTATTTTTCATTGTTTGGAACAAATTCACTTTCAAATGTAGTGAACAGGTTTTCAATAGCTTAGATAAGTGTTATTTGTAGCCTGGCAGTTTCGCCATCATGATATTTTCTATTTCCCACATTAGAATGCAGTCTGTCTTGTTGAAGTTAACGACTTGTTGAGTGATTATAGATTGAATTAAATGTTTACCTGCAAGGTTCAAAAATTGGCCTAAAGCTGATCAGATTAATTTCATTTTAACTTTTATCTTTTTACTTCGAGATATCTTTGTAACCTTTCAAAGGTATAAATACTTTCAAAAGCAAAATACAGCACTTGTTAGAAAGCTGTAATAAAAACAGAATGCTCGAACTATATAGATAGTCCAAAAAAAATGGATGCTGCATGATCCACTGAGTATTTCCAGCTTTCTCTGCTTATTTTTTGTATGTTAATCTGCTTGAGCATATTAATTTGATTGGAATTGCTGTACATGATTCTTGTCAGCTTCAGGATTGCAATATTGGTTAATTTTTTTTTCTATTTGTTACTCCACAAGCAAACCTGATCTCTTTTGTTCAGGTGTGTGATTGTACTGCCCAAAATCTAATGAGATGACAGTATAACCTAACTGTAACAGTAGGAAGCCTTGCATTTTGACCTTATGAGCCCAGACCAAGCGACCAAATGTATATTACGATCTGACAAAGGGGCAGTAACTCTTTTTTAAAAGTAGACAAAACAAGATATCCAGCAACTCAGTAAAAGAATAAAATCACAAAATTACATAGTTTTAAACAAAATGGCAATAAACTTTTTGATACAAAGTTGGAACAGTAATACAAAATACTATATACACACTATTTATATTCTCACGTTCAACATGAGGTAAATATGGGTAAGAGATATACTATGATCAAGCATCCCCAAGAGCACATCTTATATTATACCTACCACATCCACTTCCTTCTTAACTTTTTCCTCCTCCACCAACACTGCTCCTCAGTTTTTCATCTGGTAGGTGGCACAAAGAGTTTTTCTCCCATAAGGGAAGGGATGTGCAGCAGGTAGGACACAATCTAATCTCGATACCTCCTTAATTGGGCAATTGAAGGTTCCTCCCGAGCACAGAAGGCAGTGGAAAGCATGCTTGTCAGTACAGGTAAAGCACTTTATAATATTTCTTATAGTAACATGACTCTTTTTGTATGCATGTTACATGTATCTACACATATATCAAGCAGACTCATGAGCTATACATGGATTAATCTTGCCACTAAGTAGCCATCTTTGGACATCGCTAATGACCATGGTCAAATGAGTCAAATACAGTTGACACAGAGGGAGATTGCAGAGTGAAGAAATCTTGACTACTGCAAGAGGTATTTGCCCTTGACCTGCTTGATGCACTACTTGTGGTCATATACCAACTGCATATGAAAGATTGAAATTCCTGAAATGCCTGATTTGAATTACAGATTTCACAAAGCAATATGTATGTAATCAATTGTCACTTGCACAACGGAAAGTCTGTAATCTGTGCACACTCATGTGATCACTCAGCCTGTTTGTACCTGACATGAAGAAATGAGACTAAACTACCTGTCTGTGTCAAGAACCACAGTAGCATTGTCCAGAGGTGCACTGAAATGAAATGAAAAAAGAATATTGCTGCCATTTCCAGGAGCAGCATGGAAAGAACTAACTGCATTATAGTTAAGAACCATGGTCACTTCGACAACTATTGACAAAACAGTCTTATCCAAGCTGCTTTGAGGTTTTTGAGTCGTAGCTCCAGCCATTGTTGGATTTCAATCGCAACCTCATTCGTGCTTTTGTTTCAAGCATTGGCCATCTTCGAAATTGAAGTAGGAGAATTGTTCCCCAAATATCCTCAGCAGATAGGACTTCCTGCTAAAATCCTTTTTCTCTCTTTTCCCCTTCTCCAGTAGAATAACTTTCCTTGGCTTTTTCTCTGGTGTAGTCTATCTTCATTCTCTTTGCTATTTGGTACTCCATAGTAAACCTACTAGACCACCCATGTCTGGAAGAAACTGTTTCAGTTTAAGCTTTTGAATCAAGTATTTCAACACCAACCAGACCAATTCAAATGTTGCACTTACTTCAACTTAGTTTCTCCAGTCCTGTGCAGAATAAGGGGCAGCAAGACTCCATCGCAATCTCCTTTGCTCCAGCCCAGGTGGTGTTCTGATCTTAAAGATCCTCATTAAATGTACTTCACCAGATTTCCTTGGGCCAGCCCTGTCTTTTCCCATCAGCCGATATCCATTCAACCGCCTCACTGGCAGGTTGTACATCTGGAGGGCAAAGTCCTACTAATCTCAATAGTCTGTCTGTCGTAATATCCTAAATTAAGTTATGGGTACGATGATCCATGATCAAAGGCCCTCAGTGCTTGGAGTAATATACATATGGCAGGGGTATTTCTGCTGAAAGCCACCCCTGTTTTTGCTTCCAATTCTTCTGCCATCTCAGCCCATGAATCTCACCCCTAGAAAATCTTTCCACAAGTCACCTACCTTTCGTCTGGGACCTTAGTCTCTAAAATTTCATTCCCACAGCAGCATGATACTGCCGTGTGAAGAGGCTGTTGATTTTTAAGTTGCTAGTAGATCCTGTTGGGAGGGATGCTTGCTCCCAGGAACCTGTTTCTAGATGAAGACTTGCCACTGCCCTCTTAGGTTCATGTTGAGAAGCAGATGCAGTGAGCCTTTCCCCTAAACGTAAGTGATATTCTATATACTACAATGTTAACCAGTACCAGCTTGTGGTTGGATAGTTTGTGGTCATCATTCCTCCTTTCGTGAGTGTATCTATGGTAAAGTGGTAAAGAAAATCCAATAGTGATTCTCAATGAGAAGAGGTTCTTGTCATAAACAAGATGTAGTTTATTGCATGATAGCAATTGGATAAAATTACATGATTAAGTTAGATATTGTTACTATCACTTTTGGAAGACCTAGGATAAGATCTGTCCTCTTTAAGATCGTAAGCTTCCCCACCCAGGTCCTTACAACATCATTAGATTGGATGGAGCTGGATGCCATTGCCAACATTAACCCTTTCACGCCTTCTACAAGCGCAGATGTCTTGATGGCTTTTCAGGCACCGTACAAGATACCAGCCAAACTTCAGAGCTACCGCTCCTTGAGTGTAAGATGCCCTACTATTGTCATGGATTTAAAAATGCATCTACAGATTCTTGTGAATCTTCCACTGGAGGAAGCTATTAGTGACACCTAGAATTTGACATTTTAAATTATGTCTAAATTGATTAATATTTGAGTGCTTGAGTTTATATTATAGTACCTAATCTAAAATCTAAATTATTATGTTCCTTCCATAGGAAAGAACAGTTTCAATCAGAAGACAGACAATTGGTGGATTTGGTCTAAGTATAAAGGTGTCTTTTGCAATTGTTATTAATTCTTTGAAAATGATTTTTATTCAATACCTAGTCCATCCTCTGCAATATCAACAATATGTTGTGGTGGCAAGAAAATTCAAAATCAGCTGTCTGGTTAGAATGTATTTACTTTGCAAAATTTCTCAACCAAAGCACTATTTGCTTCTTTTTGTTCCTCAATTAAGTAACAGTTAGGGATGTATCAATAAATGCTGCGCACAAAGTCTTAGTTATAAAGCTCAATTAACCCACAGTAGCTGCAATGTGTGCCATATCAATGAATTTTTGCAATCCTTCCCCAGAAGACGCAGCTGAGACTTTCAACTATTCCTTCCAATGAGAAGGTTGATTGAATGCTCAGAGTGAATTTCAATATCATGGGTGTAAACGTTTGTCTCAGGGCATGCCCAGTAACTTAACAGAGTACATTACCCATCTGTTCTGCAAACTAACAGATTTTCATCCATTGATTAAACCAGACTAGAGAATCGATGGGTTCAGTAACTGGTGGGTACTCTGCTCGGCCAGATTTTCACCCATTTGATGGAGGTGAAAAATTGCCTCATTCTTCCAGTTGAGATTTCAATATTTCTAAAGTGAAGTGCTGTAGGCTTAGAGGGGATTTGAGGAAATACTATTTCACCTGAAGGATGGTGGAGGTCTGGAATGCACTGAGTGGAAGCTTAGTTGAGGTAGGCAACTTCACAACTTTTAAAAAGTAATTGGATGAGCACTTGAGTGTCATAAAATTCAAGCCTATGGGCCTAGTGTATGTAGCAGTGTATTTTTATCGGTACAGACTTGATGGGCCAAATGGCCTCTTCTGTGCTGTATGATTCTATGGTGCCTGTTTTATGCTTCTAATTGACAAACAGAATAATTTGAATCTCCTTTGGGCACTCTGCTCAAAGATAAGTTGGCTCGCACCTCCTGCTTCTACCAGGATATTATGAACTGCAGTGACTGGTTTGGAATCCTCCCCTAAATTTCAACTTGTCCCTCCCCCATACTGATTTGAGTAGGTGTAAGCCACAATTACTCAGGACTGAAATTGATGAGCTACCTGTATAGAGTTGTTTGGTACCAACAGCTCATCAGGTCCACGTCAAGAAGCACTGGACACCAGTATGCTCCTTGTTTCTTTACTACCTGAAATGGGCTGCCATGCTCCATTTGTCGGCTTCCCATGAGCTAAAATCTACCTTTGGTACATAATTTTTCAAATCCACAAAACTAATACATTTCATTTCATCTTTAAAAACTGTGATTTTTTTGTTTGTATGCAACATTGTTGGTAATCCCAAAAAAAATGGGCATATTGAGACAAGTTCATGACTTCAGAGAGTCTTAAGACCTTAAAGGAGGTGTAGCATAGTGTCATTGAGGTATACGGCACCGAGAAAAGGCCATTTAGCCAGTCAAGTGTGCAAAGGTCAAAAACAACCACCTCATTTTCTAATCCCATTTTCAAGCACTTGGCCCACGTCCTTATAAGCCTTGGCATTACATGTGAACATCTAAACATTTCTTAAATGTTTTGAGGGCTTCTGCCTTAACCATCCCTACAAGCAGTGAATTCTGTATTCGTCCCACTTTCTGGGTGAAAAAAAAAATCCTCGCACCCCCTCAAGAAATCTTCTGTCTCTGTATCTGTGCTCCCTGGTCATTGATCCCTCCACCAAGACAAAAGTTTCTTCCTGTCTATCCTGTCCATGCCCTTCTAATTTTATTCATTTCAATCATGTCAGCCTTGATTCCAGCATCAGGCCATTGAGTTCACAACTATCACGAATTGCATCTCATCTGTGGATCTCTCTTCCACAACCACCCCCCCACCAACAGCCTTCCAGCTCATAATCCCCCAAATCCATGCTGCCATCTTCTATCTTCTCTCCAAAATCCACAAACTGGACTGCCCGGGCAACTCTTTGTTTCTGCCTGTTCCTGACCCACGGAGCTTATTTCTTCATACCTTAACTAAATTTGTTCTCCCCTTGTCCAATTTCTCCCCACTTACATTCGTGATCATTCAAATGCTTTACATCAACTGCCTTGTCTTCACCATGGACATGCGATCCCTCTACGTGTCCATCCCATCGAATGCTCTTAGGGCTTGTCATTGTTCCTGGAAAAAGGGCACGAGCCGTCCCCATCCACCCCCTTCCTCCGCCCCTGGCCGAGCATTGTCATTTTGAACAACTTGTTCTTTAACTCTTCTCACTTTCATCAGGCCCACAAGGACCCCAGTTATGCCTGTTAGAACAGCAGGTATTACTCTAGCTGTGGCCTAACCAAATTTGCATACAGTTCCAGCATCACCTCCCTACTCTTAAACTTCACGGCTTATGTAATTGAGGAAATTATCCCAAATGCCTTCTTAACCGCTTTAGCTACCTATGCCGTTACCTTAAGAGACCGGTCAACATACTAACCAAGTTCCCTCTCGTCCTGAGTTCTTCCTAGGGCCCTACCAATCATCATGAATAAAGATATTGAGATTCTAATCAAGAACAAGAAATAATCATATGTTAGATATAGACAACTGGGGTCAAGTGAATCTCTTGAAGAGTAAAAAGTGTGTACGGACATTCTTAAGAGGGAAATATGGAGGGCGAAGAGGGGATATGAGGTAGCTTTGGTAGATAAGGTTAAGGATAATCCAAAGAGATTCTACAAGTACATTAAGAACAAAAGAGCAACTAGAGGGAGACTAGAGCTCCATATAGATTAACATGATTGTCTATGTGTTGAACCTCAGGTAATGAGAGATATACTAAATGAATATTTCACATCAGTTTGACTGTAGAGAAAGAAGTGGAGGCTAGACAATGCAGGGAAATAAATTTTGATTATTTTGAAAACTGCTCACATTACAGAAGAGGAAGTGCTGGAGGTCTTAGAAAACATAAAGGCGGGTAAATCTCCAGGACCTCATCAGGTGTATCCCAGGACATTGTGGGAAGTTAGGGAAGAAATTGCAGGACTCCTAGCAGAAATATTTGTATCTATAACCACAGCTGAGGTGCCAGAGGACTGGAAGGTGGCTAATGTGCCTTTATTTAAGAAAGGCTGTAAAGAGAAGCCTGGGAACTATAGACCTCTGAGCCTGACATCTGTGATGGGTGAGTTGTTGGAGATGATTTTGAAAGATAGGATTTACATGTATTTGGAGAAGCAAGATTTGATTAAGGATAGTCAGCATGATTTTGTGTGAGGGAAATTGTGTCTCACAAATTTGATTTAGTTTTTTGAGGAAGTAACCAAAAAGATTGCTGAGGGCAGAGTGATGGACATTGTTTACATGGACTTTGGTAAAACCTTTGACAAGGTTCCACTTGGTAGACTAATTAGTAAAGTTTGATCGCATGGGATCCTGGGTGAACTTGCCAGTTGGATACAAAATTGGCTTGATGGTGGAAGACAGAGGGTGGTGGTGGAGTGTTGTTTTTCAGACTGGAGGCCTGTGACTATTGATGTTCCACAGGGATCTGTACTGGGTCTACTTTTGTTTGTCATTTATATAAATGATTTGGATGAGAACATAGGAGGTATGGTTAGTAAGTTTGTGGTTGATACCAAAATTGCTGGTATAGTGGACAATGAAAAAGGTTATCTAACATTACAAAGAAATCTCGATCAATTGGGTCAATGGGCTGAGGAGTGGCAGATGGAGTTTGATTTGAATAAATGCAAGGTACTGCATTTTGGTAAAACAAACAAGGGCCGGACTTATACAATTAATGATAGGACCCTGGGTTGTGTTGTTGAACAGAGAGACCTAGAGGTTCAGGTACATAATTCTTGAAATTTGTGTCGTGGGTAGACAGGGTGGGTAAGAAAGCATTTTGCATGGTTGCCTTAATTGCTCAGACCTGTGAGTACAGGAATTGAGAAGTCATGTTGATGTCATACAGGATATTGATGAGGTCTCTTCTGGTGTACTGTGTGCAGTTCTGGTCGGCCTTCTGTAGGAAGGATGTTATTAAATTGGAGAGGGCTCAGAAAATATTTACCAGAATGTTGCCAGGAATGGAGGGTTTGAGTTATTAAAATAGGCTGGGTAGGCTGGAACATTTCTCACTGGAGCGTAGGAAGTTGAAGGGTGACATGAGAGAAGTTTATAAAATCATGAGGGGCTTAGATATGGTGAAAAGCAAGAGTCTTTTACCTAGGGTGGGGGAGTACCTAGGGGTAGGGGCCATATTTTTAAGGTGAGAGGAGAAACATTTAGAAAGGACATGAGGGGCAACTTTTTTACACAGAGAATGGTTCATGTGTAGAACGAACTGCCAGAGAAAGTGGTAGATGCAGGTACAGTTTCAACATTTAAAAGACGTTTGGAGGGATATGGGTCAAATGCAGGCATGTGAGACTAGTTTAGTTTGGAAGCATGTCCATTGTGGACTAGTTGGATCAAAGGGTCTGTTTCCATGCTCAGAAGTCAGACAACACCAGGTTATAGTCCCAACAGGTTTATTTGAAATCACAAGTTTTTGGAGTGTTACCCCTTTGTCAAGTGAAGTGAGAGAAAAGCATACAGACACTGAATTTCTAGGCTGAGAGATCAATGGGCAGAGAGATGAAAAGATCACGCAAATCGTGTGAGTGGAGTGTCGACAGGCCAAATAATAGGTCTCTGCAGGTGATCAAGAGTCTTTGCTTACACCATCTGATACTCTTGATCACCTGCAGAGACCTATTATTCGGCCTGTCGACACTCCACTCACACAATTTGCATGATCTTTTCATTTCTCTGCTCAATGAAAAGATCATACACTTTAATGTCTAACATTCATTCTGATTTCAGACATCCTCCAAGACTTTTTAATCTTTAAGGATGTTTTGATACAATCAATCCATTTATTAACCCAAACTCAGTACTGCTCCTTTCTAATCACAACATGTTGGGACCTCACAGGTCCACAGTGCACTCTTAAGGTCGATGATAATGAAGAAATTCATCAGAGGTTTCAGTCTTATTGGGATTTCCTCAGAGT